TTTTTTCATGTGCATAATTGCTAATCTAACGCCCGTATTTATCAACTCGAACGCACAGTCTTGAATAGAGCTCTGTGATTGGTTCGTGTGTCACCCTGTACGTCCACGCGCACTGTGAGACCTCATAGTAATGTTTGTGAATTTGTGAACGGGCAAAGTGGGAGCTAAGTGAACATGTTCTATTGTACGTGGGTGATGATTTTCCCGATCGCGGAACTACTTCCTAACGCGTTTCTGAATTTTCCGATCACTTTCACATATATTTTTCTCATGTGTATAGATTTCAAACCTAAAAGTGGGAGTAGAATTCTTGTAATAGCAGACAAACTTAATAACACAAAATGTTTGCCTTTATAAAACAAGGAAAAAGGTGTTTTTAATTAAATTCGGTATAATTGATTTGTTTAATGTCATTTTACTTTGCAGTCAAGTAGGTACTTAAATAAATAAATAATTATAATTAGCTACGTACAATACATTATTCTAATTCTGCCTCACCTATCTGTGTTTTCCTTTACACTAAAAATATTTAACATCTCACAACGAATTGGCAAGAAAACTGTTAAAATATTGTTAGACATCTTACCCTCTCACACGTATCATTCCTTACCCTGGGTTGCATCATCTCACTTTAGCTTTCACGTCAAAAGTCTGTCTAACTTCACAAAAACGTTAAAGTAAGGTGGTGCTACTCAGTCTTAAAGATTTTTCTGTGATTACTTATTTTAATTTGGATTGTTTAAACAAACGCCTGATAACAACATCAATCCGCAACATCCACCGAAGATATAGTACCTATGTATGTGTAGGTACCACTAGTAGTAACATGATAGTGTGGATCGATTAATTTGTCACTCCGTGCGTAGAGCCTTGCTGGTTATCGTTATCGTGGCTACTGGTGCGGAGGAGATGACACGAACCACTAATCCTGTCGTGTTTAAGCCTATTGTTGTATGTATTTATATTTGAGTACAGTTATGTATTCGTGGTTTAATATTAGAGAGATCGTCGCTTTTGATCTGGGGTTTCCTAAGATTGAAACCTAGATAAAATATCTATATTAAAACTGAAGAGGTCTTTGGTTTAACGCGCTAATCTTGGGAACTACTGGTTCGATTTGAATTTTGTTTGTGTTGGATAGCCCATCTTTCGATGAAAGCTATAAGGCTATACACCAACACGCTATGGCCAGGAGTAGAGTAAATATATGAAAAATGTTGCGAGACGAAAAATAATATTCAAACTATTTTCACGCATAAGTATGAAGTCGCGGGCATAAGCTAGAAAATAAATGATAAAAAATTTGGCAAACTGCAAACCGAAATTTTGTACGAACTGATGAAGTACTGAATAAGGCACAACTAGCTAAGGACTGTTGTAGGTTTAANAAATTTAGACTTTTAATGGCACCGCGGCGATTGTCGCTAAGTGAACATATTGTATTAGCGATTATTTTCGCAACCACGGAACTACTTCCTAATGAGTTTTCGAATTTTTCGATATCTTTCACATTTTTCTTTGTCATGATTGTGTATAATTGCAAATCTTAGGCTGGCCTGGTGGAATAGGTACACCATCTTACTTTAGCTTTAACAATCGTCAAAATAGTGTCAAAATCCATACAAAAAGCATCTGTTATTGATAATAATGTTACGGTTAAAATAAGGTGGTGCAACTCAGCCTAAAAGTGGGAGCTAAGTGAATAAGTACTATTGTACGTGGGTGATGATTTTCCCGATCGCGGAACTACTTCCTAACGCGTTTCTGAATTTTCCGATCACTTTCACATATATTTTTCTCATGTGTATAGATTTCAAACCTAAAAGTGGGAGTAGAATTCTTGTAATAGCAGACAAACTTAATAACACAAAATGTTTGCCTTTATAAAACAAGGAAAAAGGTGTTTTTAATTAAATTCGGTTTAATTAATTTGTTGAAAATTGGGTAAGTACGCAAAAATTTTACTTTGCAGTCAATTAGGTACTTAAATAAATAAATAATTATAATTAGATACGTACAATACATTGTTCTAATTCTGCCTCATAAATACCTGTGTACCTAACCTATCTGTGTTTTCCTTTACACAAAAAATATTTAACATCCCACAATGAATTGCCGAGATAATTGTAAAAATATTGTTAGAGATCTTACCCTCTCACACGTATCATTCCTTACCCTGGGTTGCATCATCTTACTTTAGCTTTCACGTCAAAAGTCTGTCTAACTTCACAAAAACGTTAAAGTAAGGTGGTGCTACTCAGCCTTAAAGATTTTTCTGTGATTACTTATTTTAATTTTGATTGTTTAAACAAACGCCTGATAACAACATCAATCCGCAACATCTAGCCGAAGATATAGTACCTATGTATACCACCAGTAACATGATAGTGTGGATCGATTTGTCACTCCGTGCGTAGAGCCTTGGTTATCGTTATCGTGGCTACTGGTGCGGAGGAGATGACACGACCCACTAATCCTGTCGTGTTTAAGCCTATTGTTTGTATGTATTGATATTTGAGTAGGTATTGTTATGTATTCGTGATTTAATATTAGAGAGATCGTCACTTTTGATCTGGGATTTGCTAAGATTGAAACCTTGATAGAATATCTATTAAAACTGAAGAGGTGTTTGGTTTAACGCGCTAATCTTGGCAACTACTGGTTCGATTTGAATTTTGTTTGTGTTGGATAGCCCATCTATCGATGAAAGCTATAAGGCTATACACCAACACGCTATGGCCAATAGGAGTAGAGTAATTATTATGAAAAATGTTGCGAGACGAAAAATAATATTCAAACTATTTTCACGCATAAGTATGAAGTCGCGAGCATAAGCTAGAAAATAAATGAAAAAAATTTGGAAAACTGCAAACCGAAATGTTGTACGAACTGATGAAGTACTGAATAAGGCACAACTAGCTAAGGACTGTTGTATCTTTTACTAGCTGACCCGGCGAACTTTGTTCCGCCTTAATGGCAATTAATAAGCAGACTTTTTTTATATCGAACGGGATAAAAAGTATCCTATGTCCTTCTCCTGGCTCTAAACTACCTCCCTGACAATTTTCAGCTAAATCGGTTCAGCCGTTCTTGAGTTATAAATGGAGTAACTAACACGACTTTCTTTTATATATGTTACAGTAAATGTATGAAATCCGTCATTGTATACAATTCCTAGGAATTGTGTATACGTCCTAAAATCACCCGGAAATGTGTGATGTAAATTATATTAGACACATTTCCTAGGAAATTTACACATTTCCTAAACAGCAATCGGAAATGTAATTAAGATTTCAATGAATACGCGTGGACATACGGTGCGAGGGGAGGATATTGCATCATCCGATTACGCGGGGCCTCTATCTAATCGTCAATTTTTTTTCACGCCTAGTTGTCTATGGCACACAAATTTTAAGCCTAAATTTTTTTTACACAAAATTATTTTTATTACGCCACTTTTTTTCTCCGAAACTTAAATGGCCGCCGCGGCAGCTGTGTATGTGTAAGGTCGCAAGTAGGGTTGCCAGGTCCAAAATCACAAAAGCCGGACTTTGTGCTTCATTTGGCCGGACATTTTACCCTAAAAGCCGGACATGTGACGGGGGGGGGGGGGCGGTGCAAATAGTGTCAGCTCATGAGTGAGTACTATCATCATCGGTTGCTAATTGCTATCCAACATCCTGATGCGTGAGCTTCATATGATTCTGTGGCTCGACTTTCTCCTAGCGAAAAGGCCTAACAAAAGCCGGACAGGCCGGACAAGTCCCTAAAAAGCCAAACATGTCCGGCTAAAGCCGGACGCCTGGCAACCCTAGTCGCAAGTCTAACCTAACCTAACCGAGACTTTGTTATCCAGCTACAGAAGTATTAAAACCTTCATGCCAATAAGTTTAATAAAAGAGATGTTAAAATTAGGGATTTCCAATACTTCAGCGTAATATGCGTGATGCCGAAAGAAAGGATGCCAATAGGCAAATATTTTTTTCAGCCAATGTATAATAGTGCGAAAACAACTGTCAGGCTAAACAATAATAATTGTGAGTTGAAAGTACCTATCGGCCAATGTGGTTTGGCTAAATGAAATTTTAGGCGTACCGAGGGGCACCCGATCACGCGACCGCGCTTGTGCCACTTAGTTTTATACATTTCCTAATACAATATTGGAATTCTATAAAATTCCTAGGAAACGTATACCTACATTTCCTAGGATATGTGCGTATTAAAAAATCTCTGAAGCAATATTTTATACATTTCCTAAATAGCTTCGGAATTGTATACATTTCCTAGGAATAGTATACAATTCCTAGAATTCATACATTTCCTGTAACATATATAGATTATATTACAAGTACGAGTATGATGATGTCTTGTATTGTACCACTTTTCGTTTATTTACCTACCTTATTTTCCGACCTATGTAAAGTCTATAACTAATGTATGCAAAACCAACTGTGCGAATCGATTTCACGTGTGCTGCTCAGTCCTTGAGGTCTTATCAATTCCTAGAACGTTATAGTCAATATTAGGACTATGGGCTGGCAAAGTGAACAATATTTACTTTTATTTCGCTACTTTGATAGGGAATATGCAAGGTTTTTTTATTTCTCATATTTCAGTAGCCTTGTCATTATCAATCAGTGCTTTTCTTTAACAAAAATTTCAGATATAGATATAGACGTTAGAGGTCTCATGACGTCATTGGTCATGTTAGAACGACCCGCAGAGTCCCTTACAAGTTACTAAGGGCGCGTGACATTGACGTTTCATACAAAGTTTAAACACTTGTAACTCGCTTTTTTGTTTCCAGTCTGATTTCAATACTAGTTTTTTAGAAATTCTATGATTTAACTAAACTGTTTATTTATATACATAATTTATAAACTTTTAAAATCGATGCATATTCCCTATTTGTTGTTTTTTACGTAATTTTAGTCAACAGCACATCGGAGTGTATATTTTTGTTGCAAATTCACCTCTATTAAAAGTACATAAACACTTACCATTTCTGTTTTCACTGTCAGCCGGCTTCATCTGGATCGGATGGTGCATCTGAAAAGAAAAAATAATGTAAAAATACAATTTATTTATAATTAACATGATTTTTGTCAAATTGTTGTAAGTTTGAATTGATATAATTCTTGCTTAACCAATGAGGGCTTTCGTTTTTATACTTAACAGTTGGCACCACTGGCGATTGACATGATTGCTCTACAGTGGCGCCATCCTGGTGAGCGCAAATGTGAAAATTCGATAGTCCTCCTACCACTTCAGCGCTCACTAGTTGGCTCTACTGACGTCTGACTTCGCCAGTACCAAGTGACAATGATGTTACTACAGTAGAGCCAACTGGTGAACGCTAAAACGATAGCCCTCATTGATTAACGGCTCAAATCATATTTATGGCTATTAAAACAAGCTAATTATAAAATTACGATACCTATCAGTCAATTATTCTATCAAAGCAATCAAAAATCAAATCACCAAACCATTTACACTGTTAATATTTACACAACGGTAAATTAAGTATTAACCCGTTCCACGCTATCTGTCGGTCAATTAATTTTTATGATATTAGTACACACATTAACCATTGTACACCGAAGGTTTACGCCACATCGCTTTGTCCGCCGCTCATTATGAGTTATCGCATCGTTGGCCCCGTTCATTAATCGCTCAAACAAACGCGACCCCATTAGAAATTAATTAAATTAACCGGCAATGTATCGGCGGGCGATGGGTTAAGGGAATTGTACACGATACGTTTTGTTTTATGATACGTAACTCAAAATTCGAATCAAATATCGAATTACATTGAAGCTAATCTGGAGTGTACATTGGTATTTTATCGTTGTTTAAAATTATCAGGTATTATTGGCGATCAGTGGTGAGTGTCTCTTTTTCTGCTGTTTTGTAGTTTTGGTTAATGGAAGGAAAACTAGATTTGATGATGCGAGTAATTATTTTATAGAATCGTTTAGTTTTCGTAACGCAAAAATCACCAACCAATCGGCTTTGTGTTATACAGTAAAGCACACATCGAGACTAGATTTTTTATATGCTACAGTGTTTAGTTTGACGTACTGCCGTATCTATCTATCGTTATCATCAAATACATCGTGTGCTAGCCCCCTAACACGCTGTATCACGTCTGAATTATTCGAACGGCCGCGGGCGCACACAGTCCGACTGCGATTATTTGTAAACACTGCGCATGTGCTCCGCTGTAAACAATGTGCATGCGACATCGTGTTCGGACCTCGAACATGAATACACATAATCGTAAGAGCCAAAGCACACGATGCGTTGCGGCGGTGCGACGCCGGAGCGGTGTCGCTGCGTCGTCTTACATAGAAATATCTGTGGCGGGCACAATATGAGCGGTGCGTCATCGCCGCGACGCGTGATACGGCGAAATCTTTGCGGGTGCAGCGCCGCAACGCATCGTGTGCTTTGGCTCTAACGGATTCTGTCAAACAGCGTGCACGGGTGTGCATCAAAGGTGAGATGCTACACTCCGCTCAGTTTGGTTGGTGGTAGAGCTTGTTCTAAATTCACCTGGTTAGCTACCACCATCTTTTCTGAGTCTATAGTCATAGAAAAAATGTTAACAACATTGTTGTTTTAGCAGTAAGAGGTATGATAAGTTGGTAACTCTGTGATTGAGGATTCAGGGTGAAGCTCGCGCCAACCTTCGGTCTGATCATCACTCTTTATTAGTTTTTATTTCTATAAATATGATAAAAAGACCGAAGAAATAAGAAAAATAAAATATGAAAAAGTGCAAAAGCTCTCAACGTAAAATGGACGCCAGAAATAATACCGAAGAAGAATATTAACGTCATCTGCCACTATTAATAACAACTTTAAATAAATCCGGTTAGATTCCAACATCCATTGCAAGATCACTTTAAACTTTTCTGTTTCATTATTTCCCCGAGTGCAAGTAGAAAATTGCAATATCGCGGAATGAACAACTTAAACATTCACTTACCCACTTTTAACTTTTACAACCTAATAAATGTTAAATGAAGCACAAATTACCTACTGCAACATTGGGTGCAACTACGTAGGGATGCAGGAGTGTCGATAGTTTTGATGGGATATAGATATTTTAGTCGTTACATGCTTGCGATTAGTTTTACGTTTGTTTTTTTACAGTACATGAATTCCAGTTATAAACAAAGAATACTTATGTAACACAGATATTCTTTTAAAATGGATCCTCTTCATTTATTTTGATCCTGTTTCCATTTTTTGTCAGTATGTTTTCACACTGAATTATGCGGTTAGTTCCGCTATGCACCAGTTCCGCTAAGCACCACTTTTAAAATACCTACGAAAAAGTACAACATTCTTTGTATTTTATGAGTTGTACATAGCGGAACTAACCCCTGAAAGGGAACAAACCCCTGATTGAACATTACCGTTTCTAATCTTCATAAATTGATTTAATTGGAGATAGGTATGTTATTATGATCTTTCAGTGGTTTATAATGTTATGGACTTTTCTATTACCATCGATATTTGCCCGCCAACCGGCATCACTAGCGCAACGTTACCGCCGTTCCCAACACAAACTCAGTCGGCACAACGTCTTACTAGCTCAGCTACGATACCAATAGGAACACATAAATCTTAACTTTACGAAGTTTCGCGACTTGACTTGAGATGTGTCACACCTGGGCCAGAGTTCGGAAGCCCGAATTTTCGGGTAAACTACGAGTTAAGACGAAGTAACGTCTCGGAGGTACAATAAGCGAATAGAGTAGTAGGGTAATCTAAGTTACATTTTGATGTATGTGAAATACAGTCTGTTCAAGGACATTTCATGAAACAACACGAAGTTAAACGTCATTAAATTATACTAATGTAGAGATACATATGACTCTATAAACGCTTATGTGATCTAAGTCACATCTTCATCTTTGTGAAACATGTATTTAAGTATTATGACTCATTATAACTTGCGTCAGTCAGCTGCTCATAAAATTTTATTAATTATTGCTGTTTTTCAAAAGGATACATCGTCAATGTTTGATTCGAACAAAATAAAAACAACATAGTTCGTAGCATCCTAGTTGATGATTTGGGATAATATTTTGCTCATGAAATCTTCTTGCAAGATCTGTAAGATTTGTGGTACTCTTAAGGATTTATTACACTTGATCCCTTCTACGGGCTACAGTCAGAGGTCAAGGTGAACGTAGCCCACAGAATGCNTGAAGGTTTACGCCACATCGCTTTGTCCGCCGCTCATTATGAGTTATCGCATCGTTGGCCCCGTTCATTAATCGCTCAAACAAACGCGACCCCATTAGAAATTAATTAAATTAACCGGCAATGTATCGGCGGGCGATGGGTTAAGGGAATTGCACACGATACGTTTTGTTTTATGATACGTAATTACTCAAAATTCGAATCAAATATCGAATTACATTGAAGCTAATCTGGAATGTACATTGGTAGGTATTTGATCGTTGTTTCAAATTATCAGGTATTATTGGCGATCAGTGGTGAGTGTCTCTTTTTCAGCTGTTTTTGGGATATTTGGTAGTTTTGGTTCATGGGGGGAAAACTAGATTGATGATGATGCGAGTGATTATTTCCATCGGCCACCACCAAACAATCGGCTTTGTGTTATACAGTAAAGCGCACATCGAGACTAGATTTCTTATGTGCGAAAGTGTTTAGTTTGACGTACTGTCGTATCTATCTGGCGTTATCATCAAATACATCGTGTGCGAGGCCCCTAAAACGGTGTATCACGTCTGAATTATTCGAACGGCCGCGGGCGCACACAGTCCGACTGCGATTATTTGTAAACACTGCGCATGTGCTCCGCTGTAAACAATGTGCATGCGACATCGTGTTCGGACCTCGAACATGAATACACATAACCGTAAGAGCCAAAGCACACGATGCGGTGCGACGCCGGAGCGGTGTCGCTGCGTCGTCTAACATAGAAATATCTGTGGCGGGCACAATATGAGCAGTGCGTCATCACCGCGATGCGTGATACGGCGAAATCTTTGCGGGTGCGGCGCCGCAACGCATCGTGTGCTTTGGCTCTAACGGATTCTGTCAAACAGCGTGCATGAGTGTGTATCAAAGGTGCAACGTTACGCTACGCTGCTTAAAGCTACAACTCCGGGTTCGATTCCCAGTGTAAGCCAAATTTTCCGCTCAGTTTGGTTGGTGTTAGATCTTGGTTTATATCCACCTGGCTTGCTACTACCATATAACAATAATGTTAACAGCACCAATTGTGTTTCGGTTGTTTGTTGAAGGTAAAAAAGACATACAGCAGTACAACTTTGGCTGAGGACTCCAGGTGAAGCTCGCTTACACCTTCAGTCTCATCATCACTCTCTGTCAGTTCATATTTCTATGAATAATATGATAAAAAGACCGAAGAAAGAACAAAAAATATAAAGACGTGCAAAAGCTCTCAACGTAAAATGGACGCCAGAAATAATGCTGAAGAAGAATATTAACGTCATCTGTCACTATTTATAACAACTTTAAATTAATCCGGTTAGATTCCAACATCCATTGCAAGATCACTTAAAACTTTTCTGTTTCATTATTTTGCCGAGTGCAAGTAGAAAATTGCAATATCGCGGAATGAACAACTTAAATATTCACTTACCCACTTTTAACTTTTACAACCTAATAAATGTTAAATGAAGCACAAATTACCTACTGCAACATTGGGTGCAACTACGTAGGGATGCAGGAGTGTCGATAGTTTTGATGGGATATCGATATTTTAGTCGTTACATGCTTGCGATTAGTTTTGCGTTTGTTTCTTTTTACAGCGCATGAATCTGGTTAAAAGAGGGTTTCAAGCAAACAATGAATACTGCTGCAATACAGAAATTCTTTCGAAATGAATCCTTTTCATTCACATTTATTCTGTTTGCTTTTTCATGTCTTGTGTTTCACTCAAAGTAAAATACAGATTTTCTTGTAAACTTCATAATATAATTTTTAGATTGATATTGCTATACTTAACATTTCTTTGGTTACATATTAATTTTATCTAAATA